TGGTTGGAAAGCTTATAAAATGGCGCAGTTTTTAAGATATTCCGACACTTTCTTGTATACAGGGTGTGAAAAATGCAATAGACCATAGTTTTTTAAGTTTTTATCAAACATCCTAATTTTTATCTTTGAATCTATTTACAATGGAGTTTTTACAACTGATCCTCTGTCATTTTGTATTATTCTTAGACTTGGAACATTTTATATGCATCATCACACTTCATTTACTTTGTACTTACACCAAAAACTTTTTGTCACACTGAGTACCAATCACCCTGTATATCCCCAAATAAGCAAAGTAAAACAGTTTACAAACTCTTTATATAAGTAAGTTGACTTAGATTGTATTTATAAACTGAATGTTACTATACTGAAGATGAATAGTTGATAACAAATATTGATACCATTTTCTTTTCCTCTAAAAAAAAAGAATCCCTTGTGTAAACAGCTTGATAAATCTACGATAACTCATCCTTGTGTAAAATATAAAGCTACTTTTGATTACTGGTTTACTGACTTAAGCTGTTTATAACATTATATTGATATAAAAAAGTATCTTTAGTATGGATTATCTTGGTATATAACGGAATGAGCGAGTTTCCAGTCAATAGCAGCATTGGGTTAAATTAAATTGTTTTCGTTCCAACTCTCCTTCCCTATCCACTGTCTTCCATCTTTCTATTTCCTTTCCTTTCGCAGACATGTTCTAAATTCTTTCTGCTATTTCTTGGTTTCAAGTTACTGCAACACGAGCATGTTATAACATGGTGAGACAATTCACTGCTGTTTGAGCTTAATTTCTCTGTTCTTCATACACCTAGAAACTGATAACCTAACAAAAAATTAACAATTACTTAAACATAGTATTCATGATATTACATGATAAAACATGACTCGTCGAGAAAAATTAGTTTTATCTCAGCCAATATTTCAGTAACTCTATTATCTGCACCACGTGTTTGATGGTAAATATAAACTATGACTGTGGCGTATATTGGTAGGGACATAAGGGCTTTGTAATAGAAGTTCCAAGTTCAAATCGGTCAATCTTAAATGGTTATTTGCTGTGTAATGATAATGTTAGGCCCAGGGAATCGGATCTTATATAGGTATTTTTACGTAGTTGACGTTTCAATGTTTTGTTTACAGTACTATAGTCCAGTTTAATTTGCATACTAAAAAAGGAATCATATTAATCCATATACTAGTACCAAGAGATGAAATAGGCTTTATTTTCAAGGGTTTTACTAGGTAAATAACGTTTCTGTAGAGGGAAACTAAACAGCAATCAACTAAATTTGATTTAGCGCCCTTTCTTGTCTCTTATTGCTTTTGTGGATGCTCACCTCTTCTTACAAATTTCACGAGCTGTAAACAATATTTTATAAAACTTTTAATAGTTTATCAAGCAAAAGCTGTGAGAACTAGAATGCATTTGTGTTATCTAAACCATGGGAGATTTAGATTAAGTTTCTCATAAGGGAGCTGTCCGATCTCTGATTTTACCCCCCCCCCCCCCACCGGGTCTTGATAATGCAATATATTCTTGTAATAGAGCGTCGGATAATAGAAGATTTGGTTTAGCATCATAACCCCTATTGTTCACAATAATAAATGTATATGGGTTTACACGTTCTTTCATTACCTGTAACTCATTTTTCAAACGATTAAGCTTGGGCCTGTCACGTTTTGTAGTTACAGATCTAAATTGACTCATTACGCTGCATTAAGTCTACAGACTAAGCAAACTTCAATTTGTCTGGTGTATGTAAATATATCCATTGTTTTTGTCATCACTGGGGACATCAAAACGAAAGAGTGAATCCGTCCCGGTTGTGAAATGTACCATGAGACCGACGGTCATATTTCCTACATAAGAAAAGCGCAAACGTAACATTCTTACGTCAATATGCTAGACTTATAATGGACTCATTTTAGACAATATTATTGGAATAATAAACAACAAAATGTATTTTTGTTAAGTAGTCGTTTTCAGTGAAAATAATAATTAAGTTGGCATTCATGATAAATAACATTACAAATCTGTTTAGTGACTGAACCACTTATATTCTGAAAATTAAATCCTTACCAAGATTTTACCTAAGATTACTTAAGATTTTTTAAGATGTTACCTATTGTATTTATTACTGAATGGTATGACAAATCTCTTGAATCTCTCTTGAATCTACCACGAGGCACATAATAAAGTTATGTTTCACCTGGTAAATCCATAACTAAACAAATTATGGTCATTGTTGAAATAAAGAAAATTCAAATAGTAGGATGGTTTTTATTTTCTTTCCATGTTCCAATATATTAACCAATGGCTGTATGCATTTTACTCATCTCAATCTCGCATCACAATACTCCCTTATACATTGCCTTTAACGGGAAATTTTATAGTCTATCACCTTCAAATATACCAAGCTTGTTCAATACATTGCTCCATTTTATCGTCTACATTCAGTTAAAGTAAAACGTATGCTTACAAAATTTAACACCTTGCAAACAACTGTTTAACATGTAAAGGACACTAACAATATAAATGTACCCTGTACTTGTTGATGGAAATATTGTCTTAAATTCAGTTTTTTTACCGCAATGATTTATTTATTAAATAAAAAAAAATCCTCTGATGTGGTATTCTATTAATGCTAAAATTTTAGACGAAAGAAAATACATTGTCAGCAATAGTGTACTTTAAATGCTCAAGCTATGTTATGTGATAATAATCAAAACCTGTGTTTAAGCTCTTAGTTTTCTTGCCTTGCTTACTTGATTTTCTTATCATAAATTCATTTGTTGTAACTAAAGATTTCACGAATATAAAATTTACTTATGGAATAAATTGTAGCGTGTGTCTCTCATTAGAAAATTTCTTGAGAAGTTCTAACACATCATAAAATTCCAACTACTATCAAGAACAACATACACGTGGGAACTAAGCTTCAACGAGTCCAGTAATGTTGAACTTCACATTACTGTATTTGAAACTGGCAATATGTCATCACATTTTCAGTCTGGAGTGAATTTTTGACTCGATCTAATGTTTAAAGAAAAATAGCAAGAGTCGAAAAGAAACTTTTACCCGTCTGATGGACAGTATTTTTTGTTATACTTCGCCATTTTTATTATTATTATTATTATTATTATTAAGCTGACGAAATCATAAAACGACAATGCTGTATATTGTCAAACTCCAAAAAATATTTCTGTCTTGTTTTGCTTCTGTACATGAACTTTATTGTTATTTAGAAGCAAAACAACATTGCTCTCCGCCAACACAATAACAAAATTAAACTCGTCTATGTTATTAAAGTCGAATGCCGATATGATAAAAAAAAACGATGAAACACGATGGTAAATACAATACAATTTTAATTTTAAGTTGTGTTTAATTAGTTTTCATACAGTTACATAACAATGTACATGTTCTCTCAATGATTTGAGAAAGCAAAGTGGCCAATTCGCTCATCAGTGAGACAATGTTAACATTGTCTCACTCTAATTACTTTGTCTCACTCCAGATTTGCAACGTGAAGGCACGAAATTGTGAGCGCGTAACATGCAGGCAACGTCGTATGCGCGCGAAATACGTTGGCAGCAGTGGCTGTAAATCAGCTGGTCAGCTGTTGTACCGTTGTATTTGTCACTTCACATTAAATGTTATATTTAAAGTTCACTTCTGTGTAAAAATAGGTTATGTTTCTTCACAAATTTATTTGTTTTATGGTAACTGTAGGAAAAGTATAATGTGCAACTCGAGTTCAAAGTACAATTGCCTCACTCGAGAAACCATTCCTCACTCGCCTACGGCTCGTGAGTAAGGATTTCTCTCGAGTGAGTCAATTGCTCACTTTTCTCACTAGTTGCACAAATAACTATTAACTTTTGTAATAATACAGGGTGAGGCAAAACACCCCAATTTTCTTTAGTCGTCATACTATAAGTAAATCAACAATGAATGAACAGAGAATGTGCTTATAACATCAATTAAACTATGACATTTTAGTTAACATTATGACTGAGGCTATTAACACTGAGATTTTGTTGTGGCAACCTATTTAAAAATAGTGATTTTTGTGCAAAACCCCAGAAATTGTTTGGAACACATCCCATCCTTGGTCAACATGGCGCTGTTCCAGATTAGAAGACAGTGGTTAACTGGGTAAAATTATTTAGGATTACAGCTTAAACCTTAAAAATAATCGGTGGGTGCCGCAAAACCTTTTGTACGCTCGAGTTGCAGTAACTCGAAAGTCCAAAGAGATTTGCCAGGAAGCGTTTGTTGTTGAAAGCTTTACGTGGGCTCTTTTTTTGGAGGGGAGTATTCTGATAAGTTACTAGAAGTTAGAGGTTTTTCAAAGTCGACCCACAGATTTGCTTGAACCAAAGCTAAGAATTGCCCAAAAACCTAAGTGATTCCTGAAGCAATGCTGGAGGAGTATTTGATGGAGTTTTCAAGTGATTAAAAAGGAACGTCGAGTAGGACAAGGACGTCACTTGCAGGATTTTGTTTTCAAGAAATGGAAAATATGACTTTGTTAGGCTGAAATGGCAAAAGATAAGTTGTGTTTTGATGTGCTATTTATATCTAAAGGGTGAACATTAATGAGTTTGTACTATTTATAAATTGCCTCACCCTGTATGTTTATTGGGACCATTTTATTCGGCAAAATCACCTGATGAAATAGGTATATTTTTTCAACTTAAACTTAATTTTTTCCTAGGGAGTAAAAGAAAAGGAAATTCCCCACAATACATTGATTAAAACAGCTGGTGTTTATGCTGCAGCACAACAAAACACTTGATTATGTAACCAGCCAGCCTATTAGAATTCATTGCAACTTTGACTATCAAATAAACAATGGTTTTGAGTGTGTTTGAAACCAGGTATTTTACACTTTTTTTTACATATGATAACATGTATACAAATCCAAGATTTCGTGTTTGTGGTTATTTTAGCTTGTCCAGCAAGTTGATTCTTCCATGACCTGTTGCAGGTGAGCTTACATCTCGTATCCCCGGTCACCCGAGGGTTGGTCAGACGAGGGATCATGCAGTCAGGGACACTAAACGCCCCTTGGAGCTTCATGACGGGAGAGAGGGCAGTCGAGATAGCCAAGACACTCATCGATGACTGCGGTTGCAATGCGTCCATGCTGGTCGAAAGTCCTTCTAGGTGAGATTCGTACACAGTAGGTGTTGTAAACCCTTCATCCGCTAGATGTTGGTCGAACATGGCGAAGGACGAGAAATATGCTCAGCCAAGTATGACGGGTAAGAAATTTCCAGCCTGAGAAAAAGTTTGTTGGAACCCGTTTTGTTCGTACAAGTTCAATATCATAGTTTTGGCTTTTTTGTAAGTACTCACCTCACGCTAGAGTTCTACGTGCATTGTACAAATGTTTTATATATTATACACGGGATGCTATTAAGTGACAACGTGAGCCTATATATGGCAAGGGTTTTATATTTACAAACAGTGAGAGATTTTACTGATTACTCCAACTAATGGGAAGTTTTAAATTAAGAGAAAAAAACAGGTTGATCCTGTATCAAGCTTTGGTAATGTTTGGAAAATTAAGTTCACGGGAGATTTTGGCAATACTTCAAAGACCAGAATATTACCTATCCAATACAAATACAAAGTTTGTTTCAATCCGTATTTAAGTAATATGTTAATCCAATGATAAAACCTGTTTGAAATGTGTTTTGTAAGGTCTTGAGAAAACCTTAATAGTTTAGCATTTGCAGCGTTTTTAAGACTTTTGTTACCTTGGTTGGTATTAACTAATAAAATCTAAACAGATTAACCTAACCATCCACAGGATATGTTATATTGAAAATTAAACAATTTTTGTCAGCAAATATTTATATTAATTTAGTGCCGACGCAACTGTGGGCATTCTGTAAAATGTAAACCAGGAAATAAAAATGTAAGTAAATAAATTCCTAATACTATTACTCCATTTCATGTATTGCCTAAACGCTTTAGGGATTGCACGGAACGCCTAGATTTAGTGCTTTCCCGGTAACCTGATTCTGTTAGTCACCACTAACAACTTCGTAGCCAACCGGTCATGTTTTTATATTGTTGAGTAAAATGCCAATCCTCAATTATTGCACCATATTTTTACCATCCCTTGTATGTTATGTTCAGGGTAATGTCTTGTATGAGAGCTGTGGACGCCAAGACCATATCAGTCCAACAATGGAACTCATACTTCGGCATCCTAGGGTTCCCCTCAGCCCCTACCATTGACGGCGTGTTCCTTCCAAAACATCCACTCGATCTTCTGAAGGAGGGCGATTTCCAGGACACAGAAATCCTCATCGGCAGCAACCAGGACGAGGGTAAGTGACCTTTACGATCACTTCGTAATTTTTTTAATAATACAGTGTATTTAATTATACAAATACTCTTGTTTGAAAATTAGATACGTAAATGATGAGTAATAAATTTATGGCAAATTGATATTTTATAAGTAATATAAATGGTTAAAATATTCATCGCTGTTGGTGTTTTGTCCAACTCTATAACCCATCCAACGTCCTCCAATCATTTTAGTTGCTTATTAAAGATCTTACTGTACAATGAAAACGAGTTTATTATTAGCCCATGTCAGCAATAGGCTTGTGTTGTGGAGGTCAAGTTGTTATATTCCTTCAATTAATACCACATTTCTTGTAATTTAGTTCTACCTGAGCTATGAAAATGTTTAACATTGTTTCATATACACATCTAAGTTCAAAAACTATTTGCTGATACTTTGTATTTTAGAATTGACCACTTGGACCAATGAAATATGCGTGTTTCCTAAATACGGCTTTTCAACCGATTTGTTTGTTGTGACATTTAAAAGAAAGAATGTCATACTGATATTTATGAGAATTTATAAGAATAATGTTAGGTATAAGGATCTTTATTGGGATAATGTGAGGAGATTTAAAAAGAGAATAGTTTTCATTATGGACAGTATGATGTTATTTTTATCAAGTTATTTTTATTAAGTTTGTTTGTGTAAAGCTGTTTCAGTTAATTTTTATGTGGCTCACTTGATTTTGTGTGATTAGACTAAGGTTAAGAGATCGGGGACCATTGAATGTCCCTCAATTAACATGCATTTTTAATAACCTAAGAATGTAACATTATTATGTTGTTATTTATTGGATGCTATGACCAGTTTAAGAATGTGAGATTTTGAATGCTCACTTAGGTGCCTAAGGTGATTTGTGATTCTTCCGTTAACCTAATCTGTCCCAACTTAAATGTTAGGTTAAGTTGGTATAAACATCGAAATAATTGTATCTACCTAGTAGAGGTTTATATTTTAATATAAATGAACTACGGCTAACGTCCAACGACATTTAAGAAAATATTCGTAAAAATGGGAAAAGACTGCGATCAAAATTTTGTACAGAAGAAGTAAGAAATTACGAAAGTTATTCAATATCCTAATCGCTGTAACAGCCCCACGTTGACTGCGTCTCATTTATCCCTTGTTAAAAACTTTATGAAAGATTTATAGCTCTTCCAAACTGTCTCACTTACGTTAGCAACAAATTCTTTCCCTGTCTCCATTTTCCGCTTCATTTAGTTCCATCATTTTACTTCATTTGGCTCCACATTGATGAGCAATGTAAATTTGGAACTTTTGCCTACATTACTAGCTGCGATGGAATTAATTTAAGTTTGTTAATGTTTACTGTACATAGTGTACTAGTGTTAAGTTAAGTATCATATTTAAGTTAAATATTTGATTATTTTAACTTTTAGAATCTATGTTTATGTCGAATTGACTGTTAACATTTAATTTCAAAACGATCAATTACGCTCAAATAAAGCTTTAAAATAAATAAAAGAGATTCGCCAAAGAGTGTACTGTAATATTGAGACAAGATGTTTTATAAAATGTGGATGAGCTGAATTAGTTATGTACTATTATATGATGTATAGCTAGGTTTGGAATGGTTAACATTCCCTTGTAAAAACAAAATGTCGTTCACAACGATGCATTGAATGTTTGTTGACTTGTAAGACTTGAAAGCTATATACAGTATATATGTAGCACGTATGTTTATGGGTATATTGACACGTTGTGAAGTTTCATTCCTATATAATATCAGCGATATAATGTACGCTGTGCTCTAAAAAGTACATTGTTTTACAGTGAAATGTCTCTAGTGAATTGTAATTTAATTTTTATACTAAATGATAGAAATAATAATTTCTCTTCGTCCATATTCAATCACTTCACTCCAGTTCCATGATTGGCAAACCATTAAAAAGTCAACTATTGATTACAAAACAATTTACAAAACTAACAGCGAATTTAAAATTGTTGATTAAATACTTTATATAAAAAAATATATAAATTTGTTTTAATAAGCCTTGACAACTGGAATCCATACACTAATGAAATCAAGGAAATAATAATATAATATGAATTACCAGCTTTCCATGTTAACCATTACATGTTCTGTAAAACTAATTAATGACAGCCTAATATACCAATATAATTACTACTGAGAATAATTTTCTTGTATATGTTTATAAATCACATTTTTCAGCAACGCTATTCTATTAAACTTTGAACCCATGTGGAAAACGTTTGTTTAATGGTAAATTCCTTACAAACCATATACTAATAACTATTTATAATGGTCAAAAATGTAAGAAATAGACTTAACAGACAACATAATATATTTTAAAATAGAATAAAGACAATTTAAGTTAGGCTTGATGGGTTGCTTGACGTAGACTTCAGCTGTCACATATACTAGTCTGAACACAACACAACACAGGAAATGCAGTTTACCACAATTTATAACCATAGGGGGTTGATGTGAAGGGGTTAATAAAAACGTCCGTTACACTGATGCTATTTCTAAAACAAATATTGTGTCCTTACAAAAACTACTATCTGGTATTTCTAAGAGAAGCTCAACGTATGATAGAATGAAATATCTGATACAGTTTTTATTGCCTGTCGCTGTCCGTGAAGAGATGACAGATTTATTTAGATTTATCACCAATAATTTGTTTATATTCCAAGAACTTGATAAAGAGTCTGAAATGTTATTTAAACCGAGTACTAGAAAGATTTTAACATCATCTCGTTTTATACAGGGTGACAAATAAGTCTGGAAACTGTTTAATATCTTTTTAACTAAATCCGTTAGAAAATTGAAACCTTTCAAACCTTTCAAATCAACTTATATGTATGAAAACTACTTTTTGTAAGCATTACCATTTTTGACCTCTACCAGGGAACGACCCATGAGGAGTAAGTACATAATCTTTAATGTAAGCATAGGTTGATATGCATACCATTTTAAAGGGCGTGTCAAGTGGAGTTCATTGCCGGAAACCGTGTCTCAAAAAAGGTTCATCCGTTACAAAATGGGCCTTAGTATTGGCAAATACTCGTAGTCAACATTTGCTAGAGAGCTGAAACCCGGTTAAATTATTTTGAATATTGAATACTATTAGTCTATGAGCTGGTTGAATTTCAATCTGCAATGGGGGGCCCAGGAAGAGTCAGTTAAAGTTTCAGTTAACAGTTGAAGAGTTCAGTTTCCCTCGTGGAGGTCAAAAAATGGTAATGCTTGCAAAATGTAGTTTTTATACATATAAGTTGATGTGAAAGGTTTGAATCTTCTAACCGATGTAGTTAAAAAGATACCAATCCGTTTCAGGACTTTTTTGTCATCCTGTATATTACTGTCTTTATACTTGATAACTTCGTATCATATCAAGTTTTAGATTATTTTATTTATTTATTAGGTACTTTAAAACCCCTATTTACACGTATGGGTAATTTTATTTATGCATTATTAAACAACTTTTATGTAATTACTGCAATATACATGTACAGCATATAATTAAAATCCTAATTAACTTACTCACTTTCTTTTGTTTTTGATTATTTTACAAGCCAAACGCTTCAAAAAATGTAACATGTAATGATTGTAATACCAAAAGATGGGTACGTTAATTAATCATATACAGCATTATTAATTACTTAAAAACTAAATGACCGAATATATAACGAATCTATATACATGTAGTTGTAAATTAAGATTAAATTAACTAATATCCTTAACTGTAAATATTGTGAAAGAACATTTTTGTAACTCTCCAAGTTTCATTTTGGTAATGAAACTCATAATAAAAGGTCTACCTGGTTGGAATATTAGTTCACAGGTTGTAATGATAAAAATGGATTGCACGTTTGTCCTCCTCCCCTTCCATCGCCGCCAAAACGTGCACATCAAAGGCTCCAACGATGGTGAGCTTGCTTCAAACCGGGTTTAAATTCTCTCTTTAAATAAAATTGATATAGCTTTTAGCCTGGACATTGATCCCTTAATTATTCTAATAACCACTTTGTTATGTAGACAATTTATGGAATCCCTTTTAAAATGTATCATGTACTTTACTTGTAACACTAGAACCCCTTAAAAGTGTTGCGGAATATATGTATGGTTCTTGGCTGGGTAAGTTTTAACTATGATTTTCTCAGCGTTTGAGAACTATTTCAGTAAGAATAGCTCATATTAATAATTGAATAGATATTAATAAATTGATATCATATAAATTAATATAAATAAATTAATAAATTAATAAATAATAATTAAAAATAATAATAATAATAAATAATTAATAAATAATAATAATAATAAATAAATAAATTAATATAAATAAATTATTGATATTAATAAATTTAATAGATATTGAACTAATATTGTCTTGGACTAATGAGAAGAAAAATAAGCATAACCCGGTACCCTTTATTAATTATAATTTGTAATCATGGTAAATACCTTTAAAGTAGTTTATAGTGCAGCGTATGAATATGTTACAATTATCTACTGATTTTCTGGCTTTATTTTAAACCATTTGTAGTTGTAGATTTGGTTCTAAATCTGTATATAATAGTTTTTTTTCGAGTAATGTAACCATATATTGACTTATTATATCAAAACATTATGCTATATTTATTTATCTTATAAATCCTTATAAAATCACATATTAGTGGACATATATGATTACAAACAGGAATCTAATGAGAATGAATATACAAATATATTCCTCATACAAATAGGGTAAGTCAAAGATTCTTTCTTTTCCAGGTACATACTTCATTTTGTACGACTTTATTGACTATTTTGAGAAGGATGGGCCAAGTTTCCTACAAAGAGACAAGTTTCTTGACATAATCAACACGATATTCAAGAACTTCTCCAGGCTTGAGCGGGACGCTATTATATTCCAGGTTGGTTAAAAAAGTTCATTCTGCAAAAAATGTCCACATTTACTAAGCAATAAATGTAATTCTATGCAAATAAGAAACTTATATGAATACATAACACATATACAATGGAATAACTATAACAGAGTATACTATAACTATAACAGTACGGAAGAAAGATATTGTATGCCCAACTTTATAGGTACTCATTTTTACTCGGGTGCGCTGTATTTTTGTATTTATAAAACGTTTTTAAGACCTCCTCACAATATACTAATGAAATGTTTTCATAACTATATATGAATCATAACCAATAATTAGTAGTTCTCAAGACTGCTAAAATATCATATGTTATTATCTTTTCGAACAGCTGGAACACCAGAGCCTGTTACGCTATACCAGTAACTTTTTAAGATTTATTGGATGACAGTTTAAAAGTTTATTACGGACATTTTCCATCACAATGGTGAAAAAACAATACACAACGTTTCAGGACCTGGAATTTTATCCTGCCCTCAGGTGAAAAAATCATAACCAACACATTACAACTAACAATACCCAAAAGCCCAACCTAAGTTGGAATACACTACAGAGAGTATCAGTTAAAATATATGCACTGTATAGAAGTCAAGTCATGATATAACATGCAAAATACAACCAATCACAAAACTCTATAGTCTATATACGATGTAGTGTAAATAGCTCACACAATGGAACACTAATTGCACAGTTAGTGTAAAGGAAGGGCAGTGTACTCTGTACGTAACTTATGTCATCTCCTTGCAGTACACGGACTGGGAGCACGCCAACGATGGTTACCTCAACCAGAAGATGATTGGCGATGTTGTTGGGGACTACTTCTTCATTTGTCCGACTAACTTGTTCGCCCAGGCTTTCGCAGATCATGGGCTCAAAGTGTACTACTACTTTTTTACTCAGGTATTTATAAACTATTTGCCCATTCGAAGTATATGTATATGCAATTAATTAAGGGATTGTTTAAGAAAAAATTATGTAGGTATGGTAAATCTCAATTAATATATTTTTTTGAATATTTTGAGACATATCTCAGATTGTCTAATTTCAACTTAAATATTTTCATTAACAAGTAATATTTAATGCCTGTTTAAAAACACTAGTTTCAACTAGTCCTTAGGTTTGCTTCAAAAGGAAAGGAGAAGGAAAAACAATGTGTTTATATAAATTAATAGTGTAGGATGAAATAAATCAATTTGCCAAATTTGATCAAAATATATACATAGACAAGCCAACTACTACAGTTTTCTTTTTCTCCATAGGAATAAAAAGGGAATTTTAAAAGGCAATTTTTAATGTATAGTATCTTCTGAATTATCTCTGTAATCTTTAGTTTCACAAACATGCTTCAATATATAATTTTGTTTGTTTTAAACTCAACACGATAGTTGTAATGAAGTTTGGGAATTTCCATGTTTCAAGGTTAAAACTTTGAAAGCCCAATTTTCGAAAAAAAAAACATCAAAACCCCCATAACACTTCATTCCCATTATCCGATCTTGCTGGTTCGCGAGCTAATTCAAGTTTATTCAGCCTACACTTTTATGAAAAATGTCATTAAAATTTGAACAAAATTACGCTCGTTTTCGTGTTCATGTACATATGTACATAGTTGTGCTACAAATATTTTCACTGAATAACTTCTTGATCGGCATCATGTGTGTTATTAAATTACCTGAAAAAAAACAAACAAATGATACGTCTAACAAAACTAGTAATAATATATTTACACATATACGGTTGACTCACAAGACGGTAAATACATATGAAAGATGGTAAGTGGTGATCGATTTCGATTGGACACTCCAAACATCATCAGACCCAATAGGCGAATATCACTTACCATCTTTCATACGTATTTATCGTCTTGTGATTCAACAGTATAAGTGTAAATACAGGGTGATTGATATAAGTGTGCCAGCCGTTTTATTCGAAAACCATAAGAGATATAAAAAAAAGTGAAAGGGTGAGTGCCTTGGATTGTTTATTTTAAAAATTGTAGTCAAGTCGAAAAAATTATTTTAGCCGCCATTTTTCCAATATGGCCGCCAACTGTGATTTTTCTTATGGAACACCCTGTATTTCATGATGTATTCCGGTAGACAATGTAATTTTAAGACGATTTTATTTTTGTAATTTTCTTCATAAACCTAACCGTTTCAAAGATAATAATGGTTAAAGTTGTGAAATTTTGAATAGTTTTGGAATAAAACAGCTGACATGCTTTTAGGCCTTTATCGAAACTCTTTCTTATGCCGAATTTTCAAAACTTTAAACATTATTATCTTTGAAACAGTTAGGTTTATGAAAAAAATTACAAGAATAAAATCGTCTTAAAATTACATTTTCCACCGGAATACATCATAAAATACAAGGTGTTCCGTAAGAAAAATCAAAGTTGGCGGCCATATTGGAAAAATGGTGGCTAAAATAATTTTGTTGACTTGACTAAAATTTTTAAAATAAAAAATCCAAGGCACTTGCTATTTAACTTTTTTTTATATCTCTTATAGTTTTAGAATAAAACGGCTGGCACACTTATATCAATCACCCTGTATATCATTACTAGTGTTATTAGACGTATAATTTGTTTGTTTTTTTAGACAAACATTTTCATTAATACAAATCGCTAAAATATTCAGTAAACATCTAACGTCTATAAACTTATTTCTCATAAAACTAGAAACCAAATTAATGCTTACTCATGGATTTTTTGAGCATACTGCGTAAAGTATATAATACGTAATACCACAAATACCATAAGTAATTTTTTCACATTTTTTAATGTTTATACGAGACATCTTATGATATAGTTACAACGAATTTGACAATATGAAAAGTTTGGGTCGACAAAGGAAGAAACATATTCAGGAGGCTTATGATGCGGGATTTATTCTTAGATATATGTCAACTCGGATTTGGAGGAAGTATGTTTTGCAATATGTGTGCCCTCTTTTCTTTCAGTGATATAATTATCCATCTCGAGTTTCATCTCGTAATCTGTAAGAGGTGTTTTGATCCCTCGTGTATTTCAATTTTGTCCTCAATATAAAATAAGGCTTGAACGTTATTTTCTTTTGCTTTAAGGTCGTATTTGTATACAAATCTATACGATAAATCTTAGCAAAATTGTTGGTAAGATTTCACTTAATTTTTAGGTTGCTTTTTCTTGGATGGAATGGAAGATTAAACAGGATCAACAATAATTATTTTCATATATCAAAAAACATTTCTATTTTTATAAATAGTAATATAGAAATTAATAAAAGATTATGTCTAAGCCAAAAGATATTTCTTTTGACAAACATTTTACTCTATATAACTGTTACAAACCCCTTAAACATGTAATACTTGTAGATAATACCAGAGGCAACAAATACTGCAGTTCTATAAATGCGTGTAATGTAGGTTTACTTTATAGTAGCCTACACTTAGACTCACATTTTCCTGAAATGATTTAAGTTCATTTTTATTAATATTTTTGTATTAGCCAAGTATGAATGAAACCATGATGTACTTCACTGGAAATATGTGATTTAAACCTACAATGGTAATTTCTTAATAAAGAGTACAATATGGTATAAAGAACACGTATTATATTCAATAATTTTTTAAAGGTTAGTATTTATTTGATGGAAATTATTAATTATTTATTATTTTTTTTCTATTGAAACTTGCAAAGAAAAAAAACTATACAGTGATTGAAAGAATAGCACATGAGTAAATGACAAGTATATCACAAAAGGTTCCTATCAGCGAGTTAGCACTTTTAGATCGAAGCCATTATATTTTGTCTGGTATTTGTTTGGATATTTTCGCGCACACCTTTGACGAAATCCATGATGATTTTAAAATATCGTATAGTTCAAGGCGGTAAGACGCATTCATGATAAGTCACTTATTTGCTATTTTTTTTCTCTTATGATAAAATAAGAGTTACACAACTTTTTTTATCAGTAATGAAAGCCTTGATATGAGGCTTAAGTTTGTGACGGCACTGTACTCTATGTAAAAGTATTAGTGACCCACATAATGTTTTTTTTATTTTTTATAATGAGATACGCCTACTGTTCAAAATTTTTGTCGTATTGTTTTTAATCCTTTTCGTATAGTTTAAACATATATGATTTTGTTGGAAAACCATAGGAATGAAAAAAGAAAATTTAAAGTTAGCTCAGATAACCTTGTAAAAAAAATTAAAACCCACCTTCAACGGGCATCCTCAAAATAAATGCGTGTTTTTAGTTTTTACTAAACCGGGTAAGTTACACTGGAAACCTTTGTGATTCACACATTTTCATATTAATTTTAATAATTTACATTAACCTTCCACGGTATTAGGGAATTTTCCGATTGGGAAGAAGTTCTACCATAGGTGGCACGGAAAGCTCTACACCCAGGACCGATTTACTTGTCCATTATGATGTCCCCAAGTGCCAAAAACACATTTAGTTCAAAATAAATATGCATATATTAATATACCGGGTCCTTCAAAAATCAGTTTACCGAGTAAGTTTATTTGTTTGAAGCAGATAATAAATCAAATTTATGTATATTATAATTTTATTGAAACTGAATTTACACAACACATAGGTTGTAAACTTAAAAGAATTAATCAAAATGCTTACCTCTAACTTCAATGCATTTTTCACAGTGTTCTTTTTTTTAAACTTACAAAAATCTTTTCTCGTGGGTTTTTATTGTCATTTAAGGTTTCAAATTATCTTGTGAATTGATCGGCCTCCAAGGTCCTGCGATCTTACACCGCTAAACCTTTCTGTTTTGAGCGATCATTGAAAATGAACGGCAAAGATGTTCTACAGTTGAGAGCAGCCATCGCAAGAAAATTTGAAGTGTATCTTCTTAAATAATCAAGTGTAAAAACGCTGTGAAAAATGCATTGAAGTTAGTGGAAAGCATTTTAAGCGTTTCTTTTAAGTTAACAACCTATGTGTAGTGTAAATTCAGTTTTAATAAAATCATAATATAAATAAAATTTATTTATTATTTGCTTCAAACAAATACACTTACTCGGTAAACAGATTTTTGAAACAACCCGTATATAATATACAGGTTTTCCGGTAAGTAAACAGCCAAACTCCAGGAAATGTAAATATGGGTCGAAATAAATATTTAGTATAATTTACCTTTTTCGTCTAAGGTGTCAACATTTGAGTTCTTCATTACGCGTTTCATGTGAATAATTCAATATTTTAATATGGCAGCCATTTAAATCTTTATAATTTATATTACTGTCGTTGTGCATTAACGTACCCATTTGATTCAACGTATTTAGAAGGTTGAGTGAATATCTACAGTGGCGTTTCCTATTAGTCCTACTGCCACCGTGCATAAAAGCCCCTATTTAACTCAATAAAACTTGAAACGCCCGGCCACTGCACCGTGAGTTAAAATCGGCTTTCTGTGTCTTAAAATAGTCTGCGGGTTTCTGTGTCCGTATTATAATTTATCTCTTTTGGTATTGGTATTACAAAGTGTATTGTTATTTTAACCAAAAATTGGAGCCCTTGGCGTACTTAAATGTGCATTTTATAACTTTATGAATCAATTAAATACCCCCGCCGCAGCAAACCTGCAGACTAAGCGAATTTCCATTTCCCTGAATGGATTTACACTAAAATGTCTCCTTAAAAATATCACATTTATTCCCTATTTAAATAGAATCAGTTTAAAACATACTTAGGTTTGCTGCAACAGGGAGGGTAAAAGTGTTTTTTTATGTAAAATGTTAATAGTTAGTAAGAAATAAAAACATTTTTCAAATTTGGACAAAATATGTTAATAAACAAGCAAACTACAACAGTTTACTTATTCTCCATAAGAATAACATGGGAATTTTAAATTTACAATTTTTTTGAAATTTTCTCCGTAACCATTAGGCG